GGGGATTATTTTTCAAGATCACTTCGGTGAAACAGATGTTGGATTTTTAATGGCGACGGGACGGTTCCGAAGCAAAGCTTTCTTGAGATGCACATACCGTTTCGTCCACAATCATAAAATTTGTATTTATATATCCATTTAAAACAGTATTTCCCACACTGACAAGACAGCCACGAATGATAAATCTCACGCATCTGATTTACGTGTGTACACGTCGACTCCCTACCCTGATTAAATCCTTTTGTTTAAAGGCTAACAGCATGCATATTGCACCAATCATATATTACATAATATGGGATCGATAGAAAGTATTATTTGTTGAAGGGTAGTGCGATTATCTCGGGTAATAAACACAGAAGGCTTGTAGAATTAATACACATGTGTCAGAAGCTAACAATATGTCTATTGTGTAAGACAAAACGTGAAAATAAACTAATAATTCGAACTCTTTATTTCTTTTTATTATTATAGAACGACGACCCTGTTTCGCTGAAGATCAAATAAAACCTACTAAATACATTTCATGCTTATATTTAACGCATAACTTTGCCAAACATTATTTCAGAGAAAGCCAATTTAATAAGGAATTGTATCATACATTTAAGTTTAATTTTTAATAAAGAATGGGGATATCATAAATAAGTTAATTCGATGTTTTTGTGGCATGTACTATATCAGAGGAGATCAAAAGGGCATTTTAGATTAGGGGTTACAGAACAACAATTAAGGTGGAATTAAAAAGACGAACGGAACTGTTCTTCAGACTGAATGGCGACGCCAATCTTAAAATTTTACTGAGTTTGTGCTGCCATACTTTTTAGGCAGAAATAGCTCTTTGGAATTAATTTTTGGCATTTACCTGTGACAATAATTTTAGCTTCGTGCAAAAATCGTGAAGCATATAGTTTCAACTTGGAAGAAATGTTAGAAAATGGCTAACAAACAATCAGCATTGTTGATTGTAAAACATTCTTGGTTCATTTCCTGCTTGAACGATTGCTGAATACCATGGACACGTATACTCAGCCAAATTAAAAACTTGACATTCAGGATTTTTGGGACTAGATTTTTAATATTTGGTTTAAGGCAACTATTTTAGTGTTATGTTGTGCACAGATGACCTTGACATCAAAAGAAAGCAAGAATACGTCTCGCCGAAAGTCCTTGACATTGATAACGTTCGTGATGTCACAGTACCCCCCAAAATGAAATTCACAAACTTGGAGAAAAAACGGAATAAAGTGTTTAGTAACGGTTGTGGCCTCCTCTAGCGTCTCGTACTGCCACACAACCTCTTCTCATGGATCTCAGAACATTTGTAAACACTACCCGAGGAAGACGTCGCCACTGCTCAGCAAGAGCATGTTGAAGGTCCTGCAACGTCAGTGGTGGATTCACTTGCTGACGAACACGTCGACCCAGTTCGTCCCAGATGTGTTCAATAGGATTAAGGTCGGGGCTAAGCGACGGTCAATCCAGGACTTGGACACCGGCATTTCTTAAAAAATTCTGGGTAGCAATTGCTGTATGGGGTCAAGCATTGTCTTGTTGAAAAATTAGTCCAGGCCCATGTCTCTGCATGAACGGAAGAAGAACAGGTTGCAAAATCTGATCCCTGTACTGGACAGCATTTAAGTACCTTGGACAACAACAAGAGGAGAACGTCCATGTGCACAAAAAGAACCCCAAACCATAGCCTCTAGAGCGTCCACAAGCAATTGTGGATGCCGGACAGACGGACGGGGGCGACGACAATATACGACCACATTTCAATGTAAACTAGATAATTATGATCTTCGAAAAAAGGCAATCAGATAGGAGAGAGAGAGAGAAATGGGGTTTAACGTCCACTCGACACAAACTAGGTCATTTCGGGATTAACAAATGGTTTTTAATTTTATTTCAATAATTCGCTTGCGCGTAGGGGTCTTTAGCAGTGGGAGGAAACCGGAGGACCCGGAGAAAACCCACGAGGTTGGACAGGCAACCCTACTCCTTGTCACGTACAACTGGGGATTCGAAACCACGCCAGTTGACTCAATGACAGACTTAATGATACAGCGCGCACGTGCTAACCACTAAGCCATCCAACCCCCAATCAGATAGGAAGTACTGCTCTTCGAATCCAACTAACAGTAATTACTTTCTTGTGGCAATTGTGGAAATAAAAGCGAGAGAGAGAGAGACATGGGTTTTTAACATCCACTCGACACAAACTAGGTCATTCAAACTAGGTCATTTCGGGACTAACACATGGTTCAATTTTATTTCATTAATTAGCTTGCACGTAGGGGGTCTTTAGCAGTGGGAGGAAACCGGAGGACACGTGAATTCAGATACCCTACCCTAAATAAACTAGCGGCTGCCAGGCAGGATACGCCCACATTTTCGAGAGATGGATAGAGAACAAGCTAACAAGAAAGTGATTTTTCCTACAATCAAGGGCCATAATTCAGGAAATTACAATTCGATGTGCGCATATATCGAAAGGAACTGAGATCTTTGTGTTATCAACTTACATTTCAAGTTTCAACAAAATCGGATAAAAATTATGACCTCTATATAGGGTCCACAAGCTAAAAACGTGATTTTTCGTACAAACAGGGGCCATAATCCATGAAGTTTCGATCCGATACATGCCAATATCGAAAGCAGCCGAGATCTTTTGGGGATAAACCTATATTTCAAGTTTCGTCGAAATCGGATAAGAATTGTGACCTGTAGAGAGTCCACAAACAATTGTGGACGGACAGGGGCGACGGCATAATACGTCCACATGAAAATTGTGACCCCTATAGGGTCCACAACCTTGATATACCATATTTTTACGCTATTTGAGAACGAACGGTGGCCATTTTGTCTGTCAATTTTGGGGCGATTTTCACAAAATTCAAACTCAACTGTCCTTAGGGTGGAACGGTAATATAATAATACGGTTTTTTAAATCGGATTTTTCGTACAATCAGGGGCCATAATTCAAATATTGAAAGGAACCGAGATCTTTGGGTTATAAACTTACATTTCAAGTTTCAACAAAATCGGATAAAAATTGTGACCCCTATAGGGTCCACAACCTTGATATACCATATTCTTACGCTATTTGGGATTGAATGGCGGCCATTTTGTCTGTCAATTTTGGGCCGATTTTCACGAAATTCGAACTCAGTCATCCTTAGGGTGTAACGGTGATATAATAGAACGTTTTTTTAAATCGGATAAAAATTATGACTTCTATAGGGTCCACAAGCTAAAAACGTGATTTTTCGTACAATCAGGAGCCATAATTCAGGAAGTTACTGTCCGATATGCGCAAATATCGAAAGGAACTGAGATCTTTGGGTTATAAACTTACATTTCAAGTTTCAACAAAATCGGATAAAAATTGTGACCTCTATAGGGTCCACAAGCTAAAAACGTGACTTTTCGTACAAACAGGGGCCATAATCCATGAAGTTTCGATCCGATACATGCCAATATCGAAAGCAGCCGAGATCTTTTGGGGATAAACCTATATTTCAAGTTTCGTCGAAATCGGATAAGAATTGTGACCTGTAGAGAGTCCACAAACAATTGTGGACGGACAGGGGCGACGGCATAATACGTCCACATGAAAATGTGGGCGTATAAAAACATGATATCTAAATTCAATTTGCGTTATCAAAAATGAGAGAGAGAGAGAAATGGGGCTTAACGTCCACTCGACACAAACTAGGTCATTTGGGGACTAATGTGTGGTTTAATTTTATTTCAATAATTCGCTTGAGCGCAGGGGTCTTTAGCAGTGGGAGGAAACCGGAGGCGACCCTACTCCTTGCCACGTACAACCGGGGAATCGAAACCACGCCAGTTGACACAATGACAGACTTTATGATACAGCGCGCACACACTAACCATCTAGCCATCCACCCCCCCACCCCCTATCAAAAATGACCCGACAGTGAAAATTTCTTAGTGGAAGTCCTGCTCTGGACGGTCTACAACCTTGTTATTACATACTTTTACACTATTTGCGTACAAGGAGCAGTCAATTTGTTGGGCAGTTTCGGTCCGATTTTCACAAAATTTGAACTCAACGGCTTTTAGAATCAGATAAAAATTGTGACCTCTAGAGGGTCCACAAACTAATAACACGATTTTTCATACAATAACTGATCATAATAGAGGAAGTTACGCTCTGATATGCACGAATATCGAAAGAAAGAAATGGGGTTTAACATCCACTTGACACAAACTAGGTCATGTTGGGAATAACATATGGTTCAATTTTATTTCAATAATTCACTTTAGCATTGGGAGGAAACCAGAGGAACCGGAGAAAACCCACGAGGTTGGACAGGTGACCCTACTTCTTGTCACATAAAACTACAAGTGGAGAATCGAAACCATGCCACTTAACTCAATAACAAGACCTTCTGATCCAACGTGCACATGTTAACCATTCAGCCATCCAACACCTCGAATATTGAAAGGAACCAAAATATTTGGGATATAAACATGTATTTCAAGTTTCATCAAAATCGGATAAAAAATGTGACCTCTAGAGTGACAAGCTAAAAACATGATTTTTCGTACAATCAGGGGCCATAATCCAAGAAGTTACAGACTGATACATGCTAATATCGAATGGAACTGAGAACTTTGAGATATTATAAACCTGTATTTCAAGTTTCGTCAAAATCGAATAGAAATTGTGACCTGTAGAGTGTCCACAAACAAAATCTGAACACACATCCGGGTGGACAGGGCCGACAACAATATATGTATAAAAATTGTGACCTGTAGAGTGTCCATAAACAAAATGTGAACGAACGGACAGGGATGACGACAATATATACATCCACATGAAAATGTGGGCATATTAAAACAAAGTCATAGGTATCACAAAAACATTGTATCAAGTTTATTATGACTTGGATCTCAAAGTTTATGTTATTCATATGGTTTTGGAGTCCTCTCTCTTTATTTTTATTCACATGAAAATGTGGGAGTATAAAAGTTACCTCATAGATGACGTGACACCACTTGTGACCATTACTACTATTTTTCGTTTAGTACTGGTTCGACGTAAAGAATTTCCTAATACCAGACATCCTAAGGCATATGTGTCATTTGTAGCTAACGTAACAAATGCCTCCCTTTCCGCTGAAATATAATAAATTGAGTTTATTAACCCAGCCCACTGTTGCTCTCTAATCCTTAGAACCAGATCAGGTCAATATCCTGCTGGTAGTTACTACATCTGATGACAATTTATTTTATCTGAAAATGTGTATCTGTGTAGAATTCCAGTAGATGGGGGCAGGTGAGGTGGAGGGGCATGGGAGTGGGGGGGGGGGGGTCTTGAAATTAAATAGGCTTCATCATTTCACTAATCTAAAGCATATCAATTTCAATCAGATTTGGATGATAACTTATATTGTTGTTCAAAAGATTCTGGAAATAGATCAGGGGCAATCAATACACGTATGCTACTGTTAGAAGTTATTACCAGAAATTCAATCTTTGGCTCACTAATGTTAATATGTACCGTATAAAAATGTTAATGTAGAATTTGTGGACTACTTACAAACAGGAGATAAGGCAATATACCTTTTAATGTAGAGTATAACATGCGGTTGCCAAGCAAGATACCCCCCATTTTGCAAAAGATGGACAGAGAACAAGTCATAGGGGCCATAATCCTGGTTGTTACGGTCCGACATGCATAAATATCAAAAGGAGCCAAGATCTTTAGGATTTAAACATTGTGACCTCTAGAAGTTCCACAACAGGGGGATTGGGATGGCCTAGTGGTGTAGAATGTCGTGCTTCAAGCTCCAGCAGGCTGATCACCTCTGGCTTGCAGTCGTGGCTTCGATTCCTGGTGTGAGAGGATGTGGCTTGGAGTTAGGGGCGCCTTCACAACCATGTTGGTTTACTGCGGTTTCATCCGACTGTCTGCGATATCACCATCAGTGGACACTGTAACCTTGGTACCGTTTAATCTTGCGTAAATAGCCCTAACTTCTACTCAGTATACATTTATTCATAAATATTGTTAAATTTCGGCTAATTGTGCTCAATTTGTACTTCTATGTTTAATTCTGATTACCAAGCGTCTAATTAACTAGTGTTTAGTTTCTCGACACGTGTTGAATTATAAGCTTCCCGTCTAATTAGCAAGACTGTTCAATAATTAGTTGGACCGTTCAATTTCCCGAGCCGTGATTAAAAATTAGTCAAGGTGTCCAATTACGCAAGGTGTTAAATTTTGTTGTCAAACATCTAATTTCACGTGCGATGTTAAGATATTACGATGAGTTTAGTTGTTGGTCATCGTTCAGTTTTGCAGCACAATGTTGAAATACTGTATTAAGTGTTAGTTTTAGTACTGACCTGTTGCGATACAGTGAAATATTATTTTTCAGGATTCATACGACGGCAGGTATCTGTAATGCCTGTTATTATCCGGGGATTATTTTTCAAGATCACTACGGTGAAACAGATGTTGGATTTTTAATGGCGACGGGACGGTTCCGAAGCAAAGCTTTCTTGAGATACACATACCGTTTTGTCCACAATCATAAAATGTGTATTTATATATCCATTTAAAACAGTATTTCCAACACTGACAACACATCCACGAATGATAAATCTCACGCATCTGATTTACGTGTGTACAATTCGACTCCCTATCCTGATTAAATCCTTTTGTTTAGTTGTTGTTGTTGGTTAGTTGCATTTTACGTCCGCTTCCACCGAGGTGATAAATGTCTTCGCAATTAAGACTAACAGCATGGATATTGCACCAATCATACATTACATAATATGGGATCTATAGAAAGCATTTTGGGTTGAAGGGTAGTGCGATTATCTCGGGCAATAAACACAGAAGGCTTGTAGAATTAATACACATGTGTCAGAAGCTAAAAATATGTCTATTGTGTAAGACAAAACGTGAAAATAAACTAATAATTCAAACTCTTTATTTCCTTTTTATTATTATAAAACGAGGACCCTTTTTCGCTGAAGATCAAATAAAACCTACTAAATACATTTCATGCTTATATGTAACGCATAACTTTGCCAAACTTTATTTCAGAGAAAGCCAATTTAAAGATAGGTTGCCAGGCAACGAAACATACGCCCACAGCAGCTAACTCGTCCGGGCAGTCAATAAGAGTTGACATATTTTTACTTTTTTCGGTAATGAAACATTTATAACACATTAAAATCTGATTAGGAGTAACAACTCATTAAGTAATTATCAGAAAACCATTGAATTTGTTTGGTTTTTATAAAGTTTTGCCCCATGCTAACGTTTAGTATAGGAAACTTTTAACATCATGGATTTAGCTGTTCAAGTCATAAAAATTCATTGAAAATCAATATACTTGTTTGTCTCAAGACCTTACACTCTGTGTATGAATCTGAAGTCAATCGGATGATAACTTTAGCTTCTAGAGGGTCACAAGGTTTTTAAAAGTGATCAAGGGCGATAACTTTGGCAGTAATTATCGGAAATCGTTGTAAATCAATATGATTCTTCAGGTCATGACCTCAAACACTCTGTATCAATTTAAAGTCAATCGGATATTAACTTTAGCCTCTAGAGCATTTACAAGATTTTTTGAAGTGATCAAGGGCCATAACTCTGGCAGTAATTATCAAAAATCGCTGAAAATGAATAAACTTCTTCGTCTCATGATCTTAAACACTGTGTATAAATTTAAATTCAATCGGATATTAACTTTAGCCTCTAGAGCGTCCACAAGATTTTTCAAAGTGATCAAGGGCCATAACTCTGCAAGTAATTATCAGAAATCGCTGAAAATCAATAAGCTTCTTCGTCTAATGACCTTAAACACTATGTATAAATTTAAAGTCAATCGGATATTAACTTTAGCCTCTAGAGCATTTACAAGATTTTTTGAAGTGATCAAGGGCCATAACTCTGGCAGTAATTATCGAAAATCACTGAAAATGAATAAACTTCTTCGTCTCATGACCTTAAACACTGTGTATAAATTAAAACTCAATCGGATATTAACTTTAGCCTCTAGAGCGTCCACAAGATTTTTCAAAGTGATCAATCGGATATTAACTTTGACGTATAGAGCGTGCATAAGATTTTTTGAAGCGATCAAGGGCCATAACTCTGGCAGTAATTATCGGAAATCGCTGAAAATCAATAGGCTTTTTCGTCTCATGACCAGGGCTCACACTGTCGGTCGCCAAATTCGCAATTTGCGATAAAATTACGAAAGTGGCGATTAAATTTTGTTTTTGGCGATAAAGTTTAGGGGTACTGGCGATTCTTTTTTAGAATTGGCGAAAAAAAATCCTTAAAATTCAAATCGTATTTATCCTTGATTTAACCATAGCGGTATACTATAAATCAATCAACTTGCTGATAATCCCGAACGTGTCATGAGTAATATCAAACAATTGTCTGGGATTAGCGGTTTCAACTAATTGTTAATTGCCGATAATAAAGCCTTTATCTTGTCTTTAGTCGTCATATTAATTAACCCTAACAAATAGATTAGCGGTGACTATTTGATGTTGCGTGATTAAAACAAAGGGGAGTAATCAAAATGGCCGATCATTACCCAACAACTCTTTTCAAAGAGATTTGATAGTTGAATTTTGTTGACTGTATGTGGCTTCATACGACATGTATAAATATAACAGCGTGGCTAATTGGACATTATTATTTCAAATTATATTATCACCATGGGTCGAAAACGAAAGAGTGAGTTGAATAGCGACGATTTTGGAGTGAGTAAACTGTCTTACGTTGGCTCCTCTAGACGAAATGAAATTGACACAACGATTAATGATTCAGATGCTGATTCCATGAAGGTACCCGAAATCAACAATAGGCCTATTGTCCACGCGAAACGAAAATTCAAAGAAAACTGGAAATTTGGCAATCCTTAGCAGAGATTTGACGTATACACGCAGAAAATGTTTTGTTCAATATGTGAAGATAGTTTTACATCTCTGGGTGTAATGTTCTGAAGAAAGAAAGTATAGACACTCATCTATCTGCAAAAGGTAAGCTGATTTTATGTTGATGAATTTATGTGAATGATTTTATATGAGAATATCCTTGACTCAATAACATTCCTGTTACAGAATATCTACGACTCAATAATATCAATCCTGTCAGTGATGACCAAGTATTAAATATAATGTTTATATTTCAGGTCCATCTAGCCACAAAGCAGCGGTAATGATTATTGAAAATGGCAATGACATGGCTAAGGCCAGAGAGAAATCGGTGTCCAAATCAAAAGAAGCTATATTATCAGCCATGAGAAATGTCCTGTTCATGATTTAAGAATGTTTAAGAATGCACAAGAAATAAAATTGTTTTATGCTATTACAATATGTGATTTTTTTTATTATATATTTTTGGCGGATAAATGTTCAAGTTGGCGGAAAAAAAATATCATCATTGTTTTACATAAAACTATTCATCTATTTTGGCGGAAAAAAATTGAAAGCCAGTGTGAGCCCTGCTCATGACCTTAAACACTGTGTATAAATTTAAAGTCAATCGGATATTAACTTTAGCCTCTAGAGCATCCACAAGCAATTGTGGACGCCGGACGGACGGGGGTGACGATAATATACGACCACATTTCAATGTGGGCGTATAAAAAGGAATTGTATCATATATTTAAGTTTAATTTTTAATAAAGAATGGGGATATCATAAATAAGTTAATTCGATGTTTTTGTGGCATGTACTATATTAGATGAGTAGGGATGATGATTTTCCACTTCAGATATGGGCAAATTCCATTTCAGATTTTAGTCAATTCCATTTTTTTCCATTTCACAGTAAGACATGGGTATTACTGAATCCATCATGGCCGATTGATATTTCTTTGATTCAATATGATCCTTCACCCTATTACTGTGTATATAATCCATGCTGTGTGAACAAAATTTACAAAACATAATACTGCCATCTTCATAAAAATGGTTTTGAAATCGTTTAGCCGGATTTTCAGCTGTAATTTGCATGATGGAGATTGATCTTCTCGCCGTTTTAGCAGTCGACAACTCAATTCCTCATTCGGAGTTTAAGCCAATGAAAGGCTTTCAAAAGTGTGACATCGATGTCATGACCTCTAAGATTATTTATGATCT